AAAGTATATATTTCTCAAATATGTTCTTTGTTTCAAATAAATATAAATAAATATTATGACCATTGTATACCCCTTTTCACTCTATTCTACCTTTAAATAAATACATCCTTTAAATAAATGTTATTTACCCTAGACTGGCCTAATCACACAATATCTAATCTCAATCAATATCGATAGTCAGTTGTTCAATCGAAGAAAAAAATACTATTTGTAATGCTAACTTGAGAATTATTCGCATTGGCTGAAAGTATTTTCCGGTGGTACATATATTACATAGAAAAATTTTACACTATTTTCCTCAAGGGAGCGAGTATAAACCAGGACAAATTATAGATTTTGGTAGCGTTCTTAAACATATTTGCCTTCGCACGATAGTCGGTGGTACGCATACGAAACGGACGCGGATTTTTATTCGGCCAAGCGCTGTCAGCTCGCCAGCATTCCTCCAAATTACTTCGGGGATCTTTTCTGTTGCTACAACAGCAATAACAACAAACATGCACAAAGGTTAATTACCAAATTTCCAACCCGCTGAGATCAATATTTATTATATATTGTACTTACGTACACGTAAGTATATATGTACATATATATTATTTTTTTGTCAAATTTATATACATATCCACATCTCAGTTATAAATCCTTTCAGTATGTCGTAACTCACGCACACTCCGTGCACACACAAACACACTAATACACACAAACAAATATGTGAAAACATTTGAGCAGAACGGAATATTCGATGAGTGAGAGTGAAGTTTAATTTCATTCGTACCGTTCGACGGACGACACTGAATGCCAAGTATCTTCAACATACCAAAACAAAAAAAAACGAAAGAAAAAAGAAACGAAAAAAACAACGAAAAAGAAGTGAAAAAGTCACAACGCACGCAGGCAGAACCTAACTCCTCAAGAATAAGGAACGAAGATGAAGCACTAATGAAAGGGAAGAAGCAATTGGCAAAGAAGAATCGTTCAAAATCAAAACGACGTGGCGGCCCCCACCGCAAATGCCAATACCCCTGTGAAGGGACGTGTGCAGGCGCAACAGCGCCGTTGGCAAAACGGCAAGCGAGGAGCACTTACTAATAATACATTTATACACGTTCGTATCTGTTGTTGCCTTTGTTGTTTTGTAATCGCATCAAAGTCAGAGTCAATGTTAGATATCATGTAATGGGCCAGCAAACCGGTTTTGTTATGACCACTAAACCAGCGCTCACAAAAAACACGACGCTCTCTCTCGCGCTCGCTCTGCTAACAAAGCCACGCTCAATCATTACTCTCCGCTAACCAAATAAAATCACAGCTAATCAGTGGTCAAGAAGCATACATACAGACAAATTTACTCATATACTGTATGTGTGTTCCGAAGGCAAACACGCACGCATACATCGGCAATTATAGCTGTAAATTTGTCGTCGTCACTCGGCTGGTCAGCTCGCTGCTGTTGGCCGAATGTCCAAACTACCGGCCACCACCACCACCACTACAATGAGGCTCATTGGTGAACCGGTGGCGCACAGGTGGCAGGCGTTTCGTGCTCATCTCCAGCAGAGCTGAGCGCAGAGCGGAGCTTCTCATGCAATTACTTTCCTCGTTCGCCGCAAATGCGATCGATGTGGCGTGTGTGTGCGTGAATTCGCCGCAAAACACACAAGTGCATGTCGGCCGACAGCTGTGCGCATGTGTAGGTCAGTGTGTTTTCCGTACCGGTGGCGCGCTCTGCATGAATAACGTTAGTTCGGCGAACGCTTGAGTCAATAGGTAAACACAATAAACACAGTGGACAGTTAAGTGAGAGTGCTAGGAAATGCTACACATTCGCACATTTATTTGCTGCTGCTGCTTCAAGTATAATGCAAGCGCGATCGCTGGTTTATTTCACTCTCTGTGTCGAAGGTGAGAGCGTCAGAGCGCCTAACAAGTGGAGTTATTGCGTAGTCTGTGAGGTTCTTTCAAATTTCTATCACACATTCTTATTGGATATTGTAATTTCTTCGCACGACTTTTTGTGGATTCTGAATAATAAATAGTATTGCCAACTTGCTTTTTATTCAAAGTTTCATAACAACAATTCTCTATATATAAATAGAAATATACAAACGCACGTCATGTGACTAATATTTGATTTATAACATTTCGATCTGAAATCGAGATGAATAATAAATGCAAATATTAATAACTACTTAATAGTCTACTTAATTAGAGATAATTATATATGACACTCCTAGTTCATCATATAACAACCACTCCTTTCTTTTATATGTTCAAGTGATTGAGTTGAAAGTTTTGTGTAGTAGAATTTCATTTTATATTCAGAAAATGTAGTAAAAGCTTTCAGTAAGGAAGCGTCAGTTAACCAAAGTACCCCTAACTGCCGTTTACTAGAGGTACATTTTATTTTATTAAGAGCTTTCACAGAGCTTTCGGCTTGTATTACTACCAACAATTTTTAATATAAAATCGAAAAATCATTTGAATGCTACAATTTTCCAAAGATTACACTGCCTGAACTGGATTAACCAGCTTTCGCAGAGCTTTCATAGAGCTTTCAGTGAATTTTCTGCTTTAAAGTAGTTGTACTATTCACAATGAAAAATCGAAAAATCAAAAATAGCTAAAATTACACTGCCTGAACTGGATTCAAGAAAATACGACTGTTTATATTTTTATAAATAAAAGCTATGATTGAGCTTGTTCAAGTTATAAAATACTCGTATGTGATTGGTAGCCGAAACCGCATCGTTATATTTTTTATAATCAAACTGTTAAGTGTTTTTCAACTTTTATTACAGCTACTTCTTGTCTTCCAAAAACTAAAAATATAAGGCCACTAAACCCCTTCAATTAAGGATCGTGTACATCGATTCACTTACGCTTAGAGAATGAGATAATGTCTACGAACGTAACAGCGATCCTCAGGAATACTGAGTAAATTCTAAATGTTTCAGCTAAAAATTCAAAGACTTCTTGATGTGAATCAGGGATCAGTTCTAGAGAACTTTCAGTACTTATTTTAAAATGGATAAAACTGACACCCACATCTCTTAATGAAGACCATTTTAAGGAACCATTACTGCTGAAAATGTGATTACCCTGCGGTGAATCTGTAATTAGGGAAGAAGTTTTTTCAAATAGTGTCAGTGGCTTGGAAAATGACGACAAACCCCCTATTATTTTCTTATATAAAATTATTTTTAGTCGGAGAAGAGTTCTAAGTGGAGAAACAAGTAAATAAGACGATACTCAAAAAGTCTTAATACGTCGAGAAAAGTATATTGTTGAGGCACTACAGTAAAAAAACAAAAATTTACCAATTTTAAAGAATATTTTATTTATCTGAGAGTCAAAATTGATTCAGACTCCCTGAAAAGCACCTCAAAAGCATATAACATGGAAATACATAACCTTAAAGTATTTTAGAAAATAAAGGATAATTAAGCCAATAAGTAAAATTTTCTTTCTTTCTTCCAATAAGCTTTCATTACTTAAATAAAAAATCGAAAAGCGAAACCACGTTGAACTCACTTGAAGAAAACTAACCTATTATCTACGGAAACACAAACATGCAATCACAAACAACAACAAAAAAAAAGTACTACTGACTCCCAAACACCCAATTTTCTTCCAATCGTTATTGCACAACAACAACTCGCGGATATATACATACATACGAGTATGGAAAACCACACGTTGCCTACCTTAAATTTGGCCAAAAGCGAAAAACCACCAAGAACTGCAGCGATAAACATGCAACAAGCCAAAAGGCCAAAAAAGGAACAATTTCGAGGAGTAACAATAAAAACAAAAATAAAAATAAATCTAAACACCAAAAAGACCGCATGTGGCTAAAATTCAGAGTCAAGAGCAATAACAAGAAAAACATCGTTAAAGCAAGAGTTATATGCCACCACACACATACACATACACACACAAACAACACGAAAAGTATTGTATGAAGTAATAGCCGAGACACCATTGCGGCCGAAATCGACGAAAATGCAGAAAAACACAACAACACAGCAACGCCAACTTGCCGGCAATAATAGAGACACAGCGTGTGGATAAAAACGAAGAAGAAGAAGAAGACCAGCAAGCTACAAGCTGAATACTAACGTACAACCTGCACAACAACAACAGCAGTTGAAACAAAAAAAGCAAAAAACATAGCACAAAGGTAATACAAGTATTACCTCTACCTTGACTCTGAACTATGAAGCCGCGACCGCTGACTGTCGGCACGGCCGGCGAAGCCAAATTCAAGTCGGAATAAAGCCGCAAATCAAGAAACCAAAGCAAAACTACGAAAGAAAAACTAAGCAAGCATACAAATTCAAAGCAGACTATGTAGAAACCAGAGGCACAGCGAGGGGATGAGGGTCCTAGAAGAGTTATAAGCGTATGACAAAAACATGTGGTTGAAGAGCAAACAAAAAAACAACCGTACATTGGAGCTACCGGCCATTACAGCTAGAGCCGACCGTGCGCTCAGCTGAGTAACTGTTAGCGATGAAATGAACAGTGAGCAGCACGAGAGCACTAGCGCGCTGCACAGAGAGTGAGAGAGCGCCAGTTAGGAAAATCTCCAATAAGCGGCCAACAGGTGAGACAGTTTGAAATGCGAGTGTTTGCGTGAGGAGACTGGCGCTCTACAACAATAACATAGTGACAATCAGAAGAAACAGTAAAGACAGGTAAAATGCTAAAACCGTTAAACACAAACACACGCATAGTCAACTATACATACATAACGCAGAGAGAGCAACAGCAGAGAGTAGCTCACACTGAGGCCGCGGCAAGCAAACAACCCCAAGCACTTGCAAGCGGGAAGTTGTGGGCTCACCTGAGCCAAGATCACCTGCACTCAGCACCAATACACACACGCGGCACTCTGCTGCGTCAACCCACTTTGGTACGCAATCCAGGTTTGGCAGAGAGAGCGCGCGCGCTTGAAAAGTGGCTTAGAACGCTGATCGGTCGAGTGTCGCGCTCAGTTCTAACCGCATACGCTGCTCGTACGTTACACTGCGGCTTACGGTGTTTTTCTGCATTTACAACAACAACAACTTACTATGAAAATATATTAGTGACAAAAGTAAGAACTTCTAACAACGGCACTCACACACTCACACTCGGTTAGTTCTTATGAGTGTTCGTTGAAAAGACGAAGTGACGACGGTCGCTAGCGAAACGCCAACGATCGAGCGGCCGTGTAAAAGTGCCGATGCGCCACCGTTGCCCGACATTGTCGGCGTTGAACTATAATTTTTACACACTTGCGCCTAAACTCACACACCTGTGTGTGAGCGTGTGTGGGTATTGGATGAACCGCTGCTGCTGATTGACGGCATCGGCAGCGTCCGCACAACGGGCTAACTTTGGACTAACTGCTTGTGCGCGAGTACCGCTGGAATACAGTAAGAGACGATCCAGCGTTGAGGATACACGCGTGTAGCGCTTCCATATCGCGTTCGTCGTTTTGCAATAATCAAACTAACAGTGCATCACCACTTGATCTTGCTGAAGTTCTAAGTTGAAAAGCAAACACATACATACACACACATAAGTGTCCATACATTTTTATAGCATAGAATTTTCCTACTGCCAGAAAAACATGCAAGGAAACAGAAACAAGCTCTAAGGCACTAAGCAACAGGCTGAAAATCTGAAATAGGCGAAGTGAAGTGAAATTTTGTGAGAAGTGCAAAATATTAAATTCTATATGAAAATTGTGGTTCTAACGCGCATATAAAGGATTATTAGCCTCGAGGTTAGCAAAGAATTTTTTGTGTAAAAAAAAATATGAAATGAATTAAAAATTATTTAAAACAATTTTTGATTAAACAAACTATTAAAAATATTTTTTTAAAAATATTTGAAAAAACAGAAAGTATCCTGTAATAATACAATTTAAAAAAAGATTAATTCAAAATACGAATATATACACATTTTGTTCTCAAAAACAGAAAACTGCCCGTACAGAAAATCAAACACTAGATTTGTGTTCAAAAAATACTGGAAATAAAATATAATTTTTAAGAAAACAAAAACGCAAATAAAAAAACATATAAAGTGTGTTCATAAATTTTTGAGCAAAAAATATAATTTTAAAACTACCAGAAAAAAATTTAAAAAAAAATAAAAAATTGCATGAAAAAGAAATTAAGTAAAAAATTTCTGACCAAAAGAATTTTGAGTCCAAAAAAAAATTTTTTAGGCAAAAAATAATTTTTTCAAATATATAAAATTTAAAAAAATATATTTTTTTTTAATATAAAATTTCAATAGGAATACTTTGTGCAGTGTACGAAATGGCGCATGCGCGCAGTCAACAAAGAGTTAATTTTTATAAAAATTACACATAAGTGAACGCATTAAAAAAATCAAATATTTTCCAAAAAGAATTTTCGAAAATACACACCGACTGTGTACAACAACACAGTGGCACGTAGCTCCAGCAAAAACACACAGCGTGGATTAGTGTTTTGCTGGTAGTAACTATGACTACAATATTTTAAACCCAGTGAAAAGATAAATAAAGTTATCAAAACATTACCAACATAAACACTTTGCCGAAACGAACACACAACCCTTAAAATGCCGAAAATTTTTCTCATCAAGAATCGGCTGCACCAGCAGCAACAACGCCTGCTGGAATCACAGAATCTGTTGCAGGACAAAAACGAAGATGATCGCTTGGTGCCACCGTTGAGTCCTTCGCCACCGGTGAACAATGGCAAGTCGAACGCAACGCCCGGTGCCACACACTCGTACACGCCACCAGCTCGACATCAACTCGACCTACATAGTGGCTTTAGAGCACACACCACACCCTCGCCGCCACCACCAGCACTTGTACCGGCACCGGTGCAACCACCCAAGACGCCTGAGCCGTTGGGCAAGGCGGAGGCAGCAACTCCCTTGCTGGTAGCCAAGCGCAGCATATCGCCAACAACAGCAGCAACAACAACCGTGTCGGCAGATATCGAGGACACGCAGACAGCCAATGTGGCAAGTGAAGAACCAGTGAATCTCCTGGTGAAACCAACAACAGAGGCACAAGCAACAGCAACAACAACAACAGAAACAGCTGAAACCACAGCTCCAAATACGCCGCCGCTTTCGCGCAAGCGCTTCCATCATCGACGTTACTATTTCGGCCAACAACAATTACAACTACAATTGCAACAACAGCAAGAGAAGAAGTTCAATAATAGTGATAATGCTGCTGACGCTGCTGAAGGTAAGTTCAACAATTTTGCTCGATTTCTGCTTTGCTATGTGAAGTGTTTGTGTAATTTGGATATAAATATAGAATAGAGAAGAAGAAGAAATAGAATTTTATGTAGCGTAGGGTTCTTTTCTTATGCGTATGTTATGCTCTGCGTTGAAACGGAAACATTTGACATTGTTTCATATAAAAAAATACAAAAGACTTATGAAACGAACTTCGTTGAATATAAAATTAAAAATTTCATTTTATTTAATATAATCAATAAAAATTAAACAAAATTGTTCGAAATAAATACTTAAATAGAGAATAAAAAAATATGGAATATTAAAAATTTATAAACAAAAGAAGTCCGCGCAAGTTCGTGACTAAAGTCTTTTATGTGGTTTTCTCTATCTGGCTTTCGGGCAATCAAAGCAATTTTTTTTCAACAAAAAAGTATAATTGGTTTTCTGACTAAGGTGTTGAATACCTTTTCGACAGTAAAATTAATAGAAATATAAAACAAAAACATATTTATCGAATGGAAAAAATTTTAAAATAATAATTTTCCACTAAAATATAAATTCTACAGTATATGAGGATATACGAAAAATTTAGAAAATTTTATTACATATTTTAAGCAAAATTTTATGGACCTTTAATGCAATGTATTATATTTCTCTTACCTATAGTTGCTAAAAGAATCAAAGAATTGGTGTTTGGTGGAATATTTAATTTTTTCGCGATGGATATTTATGTCTAAGCCATTTATGTTTTCTGATAACAGGCATAATTAGTTTGCCAGTCTGAGTTCCAGAAAAAAATTTAAAGTATCCGTAAATCCGGCAGTTTTTTTTCCAAATCCATAAAAAATCGATATTTTTAATATTTTTTTTATGTTCAAAAAATATTTTTATTTAAACTACTTTTCTTTAGCCAAGATGTTAATATTGGTTTTATATCTTCATAAATTCTTTATATCTTTGCTTCAATTCTGAACTATTTTTTGCTTAAGCATGCCTTCAAATATTTATTCAATTAAAACTAAACGCAAAAAAAGGCAAACAAATTTTTCAAAATCCATAAACCAGTATTTAAACTTTTAAATCAGAATTAAGAACTTTCGACAACAGCGAAATTGAATTTTATTTGCAAAATATAAATACATTCTTAAATTCTATACTCATTCTAACTAATTAGTGCTAAATTAACTTCCAGTCAAGTTACTCTGTTTAATGCATATACATACTTTCCATTGCTGCACTTCATTAACCATAAATTATTCTAAACAGATTTTTTTTTTAGTTTTCTGAATATTAGCAAAAAATAGTTGAAAGAATATTCAAATGCGTATCACTCTCGTTATTACGCAAATATACCGTTTATTTTTATTTCTAATCATATATTTATATAAGGAGTTGCTTAATACTACGAGTCTAAACAAGTTCGCTGCTTAAGTCTTTTGTACAAAAATAGATTTTCAACTATTTTAAAGAGCAATGATAAAAGCACGTTGTTAGAACACAATTGTCTATGCAGAAACACGAAAAAAATTAGCAAAAAAAGACACATAAATAAATAAAGAACAAATTGCTAATAAATGGGGAAAAAACCAAAAAAACTTATTTCAACAAATAAAAATGCTGAAATCTATTGACACGCATGGAATTTATAGAATTATAAGTAAAAGTTAGATATCTGTATACGCATATGTTAAAAAATAATTTAAAAAAAAAACATTTTGTACATAGCCAATATTGATTTTAATAAATTTTTTTTTTAATTTTTATTGAAAATAATTAAGCTTTGAGTTAAAATTAATTATTTAAAATTAAACTGCGAAAAAATATATTTTGAATAAAAATTAAAATTTTTTAATTAAAATTAATTTTAATGAAAATATTTTCTTATGTTCAAAAAAATATACATATATGGTATATATTTATGTTTAGTTTTTTTTTTTTTTTTTAGACCAATATATAAAAAAAATCGAGTTGAGCGGCTTTCGTTCAAATATATTCCAACATTTTTAGTCTTCATTTGCAAGCTTCTATAATTACATACAATAAATATTTAATTAACTATCACTTTGTTGTGTATACATTAAAGCACTTTTTTCTATTTTCTTTTTTGTGTAATAATTTCGCTTGTTGACTGATTTAATTAAGTCATTGCCGCACTCCACATGTGTATATCACAGTCTGTCCGATTGCCAATTGGCGATAAAAATCATCTAAACTAATTAATAGCAAACAACAATTGGTCAACACCCATTTTGTTAAAACAACAATAACAACCACACAACATTATTATTTGTATCGCACATATTTATCTCTAAAGCCGAGAACTAAGCGCTGGCCAACAAATGAGCCGCGCTTACTCGCGTTCGCCGTCGCTAAGCGCATACAATTTGACAACAAATACGACAGTTTGACACATGCAAACCCCTTGCAACTCAAAAGTGACAAAAAAGCAATATATATATTATATATATATATATACATACAACAAGAAATCACTTTATTTTACTTTACTCCAGCATTTGCCCTCGCAAAATTTAGTGCGCAAATAAAAAGCACACCCTCAGAAGCGCACTGGCGCAAAAAATCACCACTGGGTAGAAGGGAAAAAAACCGAGACTTGAAAGCTTAGGGTGCACAAATGCAAATTTCATGAAATTGTAGCGACAACAAACAATTGAAGCTGCGCAAATGTAATGATCTCTTATTTCTGCTTTTTCATTTCAACTTTTTTTGTTGTTTTTGTGCACGTTTTTCTGTAATTTTTTGCTCATTTAATTTCTTGCGATCATTATTATTTCAGCGCACTCCATTTAGCTGCTTTGCATGGGGGTGTGTTTGCCTTATATTGCCAGCAAGCAACAACTCTTACAACTCACATACATCTATATACATATATGTGTGTTTGCTTGTGTTAGTGCCATAATTTAGCTCTGGAATAATTGTTTATCGCTTTGCCAGCGAAACAATGCAAAATTCAAAATTTGCAAATGTTTCAAAGCGCATTAACCGTATGAATGACGGCCAGCCCGCTTGACTCCGGCCTGATTGACTGCCAGCACCCACACACCTACACGCTCCGCTTACATGCTTGCGCATTTTGCTATTTGAATGGCTACCGTCGCGCTCAATAAAAGGCGTGCATGCTGTTGCCGCTGAGTGATTGCCCGAAATGAGTGATTGTCAACGACAGTTTAAATGTCGCTTTTGCATTCTGTTTCATTCGCTTTGATTCTGTGCGCTTTGTTTGCATTTATGTTGTGATTTGCTTAGTAAAGGCACTTATTGTGCTCGCAAATAATTGTGAACTGAAATAAATTCGTTTAATGTGGCGATTTATTATATTTTCATTCATTGCATTGAGGCATTCATGCGCCACAATGGATTTCTACAATAAAAAATATACTTATATTTATGCGATAACGTCATTTTATGTCATAAATATGTAAATTAATTAATTAATTATAAAAATTATTGCAAAAAATTATAGCGTTCTTTGCTATTTTGCAAATAAAGGCAAATTGAGGCAGATATTTTGTTTCTTGAAAGTTTTAAAATTGCATTGAAAGTATATTTCCGTACTTTATTAATGCTTGATAGAAAGTAAAACTGTTAAATTATATTTGAAAATTTTTTAATTATTAATAATTATTATAGTTCCAAATGTTTAATTATATTTGAAAATTTTTTAATTAATAATAATTATTGTAGTTACAAATTAGCTTTGCTTACTTCATTTTAAGTTTCTTTACAAAAAAAATAAATTTGTTTCAAATTTTTCAAACAAAAATATATCTTATTTAATGAAGAAAATTTAAATGAAAAACAATTTTTTTAATTTGCTTAAGAAATAATTTTTCATAGCCTTCATTTGTTAAAAAAACAAATTTTTTTAGTATTGCATATAAAAAGATTAAAGAATATTAAACAAACGAAACAAACTTTTATTTTCTTCACCAAAAAATATTTGCTTTAAATATTTTTTTAAGCCAAACCAATAACTATACTATCAAAAGAGAATATAAAAAATTTGTATTTTCTTAAAAACATTAACAAAATATTTACTATTGTTCTTAATAAAACAACTTTTTTAATTTCTAATTTGTTTAAAAGAAACAGCGTTTTGAACAGAATTAAAAACATTTAAATTTTGAAATAAACAATTTTTTTTTGTTTTTCTACCAAAAATATATATCTAAATTTTTAAAACAAAATGAAAATTATCTACTAAAAAAAATGGACGCAAAATAATTATTGTTTTATTTTCTTAAAAATCTCAAAAACTTTTTTTTATTTTCTTTAAAAAAATGTTTTGTCTTAATTTTAATTTATTAAAAAAAAGTATTTTTATATTACAGAATTAAAACAAAATTAAAAAATTTAAAAAACAATATTTTTTTATTCACGAACATTATTATTTTTTAATATTCTTAATAAAAAATATTCTGAGGCAAAACATATGGCTAACACAATAATTTTTGTTAAATATAAATATTTTTGTAAATTTGTTGTTGTAAATTTATTCAAAAAAATACTCGAAATATAGTAACTTTTATTTTTATACGAAAATTTAAAAAATTGCATACATTTAAAAACATTCAATTAGATTTTATGCGTTTAATACCTGAAAAATTATAAAAAATATTATTGTTACATTAAAAATTTTGCTGTTTTCACTACAAACACTCAAAAAAAAATTTTTTTTACATTTTATTTAAAATTAATTTATTACACATTTTATAGAATACTATTTCCAACAAAATATTTTATTTTTAAAACAATTTTTTTAATCAATTAAATGAACAACTAACTAAAAAATTTACATAATGTAATGGTGTTTTTTATTATATCAAATTTTTGGAATTTATAATATATTTTTAATTTTTTTCCATTTGATCACGAAATACTGATAAGCAACTTTAACTAGAAACACTCTACACTCAATTTTTCGCATAAAATTCTCTTCGAAGTTTTATAACCCAAACATCATCTCCAATCGCACTCATAAAA